TGAGAGTGTTACAGAGTGGTGTTGAATGTAAACTGTAATTGAAAAGAAAGTTATACAAATTACAGGCAAAAAATAAATAAATACTTATGATTCTTGGTGGGTGGGGGAGGGGGAGCCCAGTTTTCTTCTTTGATCAGATTACTCAACCTCCTGAATTAAGCTTCCTTTTTATAACTTCTTCTTCTGAAACACTGTGGTGACTTCATAAAAGTATGAAATGTTATGTTAATGACCTAGGTTTGTAGTTGGTTCTGACTTGAGTCTCTCAAAGAAATAGAGCTACACATGAAGTGGAGAGGACCCTAGATAGAAAATCAGGATATTTGTGAGGGAAAAAGCTTACAAAACACATTGCTCATCAGTTATCTTGAACAAATCATTTACCTCAGAGTTTTTTCATTTCCTTACAATGAAAACTGGGTCAGAGAATGAGCTGTACTTAGGTGCCAGCTATGTAATGGAAATGCGTGAATGGGCTCAGCCATCAGGTTGTGACAGTGGTGGATGGCATGATGGGTAGAGATCAGTCTGTCTTTCCTAAAGGCATTTTAAACCAAAGTTAAAGAAATGAAAACAATCTGTAGGCACAATTATACCTGGATGTCTGTTTGCAGTCTCTGGGTTAGATGGTATTGCTCTCCCTTCCCAGCCAATTTCATTTTGTAGTCCTTGTTCCTCTGGCTTGAGGTCAAAATCTCTGGTCATCTTAGCTATTCCCTGTTGGCAAATTGGGCATCTTTGAAACCTCATTAATTCTTTGCACCACCAGAGAGCCCGTCCATGAATTACTTACTCAGTTGCACTCTATATATATTACTCAATGATTGCAGTGTTTAAAGCTGACAACCCTATTTGTACTTAGAGAAATGAACAGTCTGTAATATGAATTATGAAGGTAAAAGAGACTACGAATGTTAATCAATTTAAGAAAGTAGCACCAAATTTTAAAGAAATTCATCGAGGAAAAAAACATGTATCTTAAGGCAGTTTTAAGTTACCCAACTTTAAAATAACCAGTGATTATGTAATTCTTTGCCATGATGTATCTTCAAAATGGAGATAAATTCTTGGAACCAGAAAATCAATGGCAGTGTGATGAAAGAGGAAAGTAGCAATTTCCTTGCTTTTATGAAAACATCTCAAAGTAGCTACAAGTTAAAAGACACCCAGGTGCAAATAGTAATGAGCCCACTAATCTGAATTTGGTTAAGACAGAGGAGGGAAAGAAAGCAACAGGAGAAAAGTTTAAAGGAATTAAGCATGTCCTTGATCAAGTGATTCATTGGGATAGAGAAATGGCATTATCAATAACTGTCAAGAAGATTAAACTCAGGGAAATAGAGCTAATTTCAGCTGGAATCAGTGAGTACGTCGAGCAGCCACTCAGGGAAAATAGTCAAAGGCTTAATCTAATCTAAGCAAATGGCAACAAAATAAAATGGATTTCTTAAAGTAGCATTCATTGACAGAACGTCTCTCATACCCTTTTAAAATTACTTCCTGGTGCTTAGCACAACAATGGGTACAATGAAAATACTCCATAAACTAACTGTTGGTTATCTATCTGACACCCTGGGAAACACTGAAAATAATCTGAATGTTGTTTTTAGAAATTTTTAGCCATTAGCCATTTCGAATTCTTACAAGTTCGAACTGACTCTCCTTTCACCAAACAGCTGGCATAGGGACTTTTATATTGTGCTGTGTAACTACCAGGGCCCATGAATGGCAGTGTCCTTCCACAATTAATCTATCAATAATGAATTAATTAATAGCCTTTTTTATGCCCAACCCTAAGATAGATTCCCTAATAGCAGCGAGCAAACTTTCTTAAATAAATTAACTCAAAACGGCAATACAGTTACAATAAAATGAAGCGTATTTTATGGGTCTTGAAATATAATTATGCTAACTTGGAAAGCTCATATTTGTTATCCATATAAAAAGGCAATAAACTCAAATTAGCTAGGTACCTCAGTCATGATGATCATTTAACATATTTGCAATTGAGATGGATGTTCAGATTAGTCACAGGAAGAGGAAAATCTAAGCTGGCATGGAAAGTTGTTTGTTTGTTAGTCACAACTGTTTAAATAGTATAAAGAAAATATAGGAGTTTCTATCTTTCCAGGGTGAAGATAATTTTCCCCATAACATTATAGTCAGCTATATACTCCATACTAAAGGATAGGAGACTAAGCAGGGGTGGTCACCCCTAAAGAGAAGAAGAAAAAGTTTTAAAAACATGGCTGTGTGTATGTGTGTGTGGCGGGGGAGTGTTTATGACATTTTATTCTGTTTTGTTTCTACTGGTTTTAATTTTTAAGTACAGTCAGGAGTACAACACAGATTTAGACACATTTATAAGGTGTTAAATATCTGCTTGAAAAATAGGATATTCTATTTTTAATAATACCCTTTGATTACATGGATATTTAGCCTCCTGAAAGTACTAAGACACACAGTGGCACACTAATCTCATCTTTATTCCCATCCCACACCAGGGGGTGTGAAGGATTGGGTGGGAAACAAGGGAACTAAGATCTCAGGAAGACCAAGGCGTGATTTTTTTTCTGTAAGTGAATAAGAATGAAAGTAGATGGTTGAAAGATAATTCTTTTAAAAATAATTTTTATTATGTTCTATTATAATTGTCCCAATTTTTCCCCTGTTGCTCTCCAGTGCTCTAACCACCCCCACCCACAGTCAGTCCCAACCCTGTTGTCCATTTCCCTGGGTCATTCATACTAGTTCCTTCCATCCTTTGCTTTGAACCATTAGCCCTTCTCCTACCCTCTGGTCACTGTCAGTCTGTTTCTTGTTTCCATGCCTCTGGTTCTATTTTGCTCCTTTGTTTGTTTTGTTCATTAGGTTCCTCTTACAGATGAGGTCATATGGTATTTGTCTTTCATTGCCTGACTTATTTCACTCAGCATAATGCTCTCCAGTTCCATCCACACTGTCCCCAAAAGTAGTTCCCTCTCTTTTTCTGCTGTGTAATATTCCATTGTGTAAATGTACCACAGTTTTTTGATCTACTCATTTCCTAATAGGCTCTTAGGTTGCTTCCAGCACTTGGCTATTATATTGTGCTGCTATGAACATTGGGGTGCATAGGTTCTTTTGAATTGGTGTTTTGGGATTCTTAGGGTATAATCCCAGTAGTGGAATTGGTGAATTGAAAGGCACTTCCATTTTTGTATTTTGAGGAAATTCCATACTGTTTTCTACAGTGGCTGCACCAGTCTGCATTACCACCAGCAGTGGACTAGGGTTCCCTTTTCTCCACATCCTCACCAGCACTTGTTGTTTGTTGATTCGTTAATGATGGCAGTTCTGACCAGTGTGAGGTGCTATCTCATTGTGGTTTTAATTTGCATCTCTCAGATGGCTAAGTGATGTTGAGCCCATATGCCTATGGGCCCTCTGTATGTCCTCCTTGGAGAAGTGTTTCTTCATGTCCTTTGCCCATTTTTATATTAGATTGTTTGTCTTCCTATTGTTGAGTCATATGGGTTCTTTATATATTTTGAAGATCAAACGCTTGTCTGATGTATAGTTGGCAAATATGTTTTGTTATGGCAAATATCCCATATAGTTGATTCCCTTTACATTTTGATGATGTCTTCTTTAGCTGTGCAGAAGCTTTTTAATTTAATATAGTCCCATTTGGTTTTTTTCCTTTATTTCCCTTGCCCTAGGAGATATAGCAGCAAAAATATTGCTGCATGGGATATCCAAATTCTTACTGCCTATGTTTCCCTCTAGGACTTTTACAGTGTCATAGCTTATATTTAAGTCTTTTATATATTTTCAGTTTATTCTGGTTTATGGGGTAAATTGGTGGTCTGATTTCATTTTTTTTTGCATGTACCCATCCAGATCTCCCAATTCCCTTTATTGAAGAGGCTAATTTTACTCCATTTTATGATCCTGCCCCCTTTATCAAACGTAAGTGACCATAGAGACATGATTTATTTCTGGGCTCTCTATTCTGTTCCATTGATCTATGTGTCCTTTCTCATGGCTGTTTTGATTACAATGGACTTTTAATGTAGTTTAATATCAAGTATCACGATTCCTTCAACTTTGTTCCTTTTTCTCAAGATTGCAAAGGCTATTTGTGGTTGTTTTTGGTTCCATATAAATTTTTGAAATATGTGTTCTAGGTCTGTAAAATATACCATTGGTATTTTAATAGGGATTGTATTGAGTCTATAGATTGCTTTGGGTAGTATGGGTGTTTTAATTATGTTAATTTTCCAACCCATGAACACGGTATATGCTTCCATTTATTTATATCTTCCTTAATTTTTTTCTTCATCATTCTGTAGTTCTGTTTCTGAGTACAGGTCTTTTACCTTCTTGGTTAAGTTTATTCCTATGTACTTAATTTTTCTTGTTGCTATAGTAAGTGGGACATTTGTCCTGGTTTCTCATTCTGATATTTCATTGTTAGTGTACAAGAGTGCCATCATTTCTGAATATTGACTATGTATCCCTCTATTTTGTCAAATTCATTTATTAGGTAGAGTAGTTTTTGGTGGAGCCTATGGGGCTTTCTGTGTACACTCCCATGAATGACAATTCCATCCTGACCATCAGCCGCCCACTCTCAGCCTGAATGCCTTCTCTCTCCTAAGGTTCTATCTCTGTGGCCGGAAGTCAGCACACAGTGGAACTGATCATGTGCTTCACCATAGCAGTTTTTTTTTTTTTTTGCAATGAGCACTGGAATTCACCACTGATAGAGTTTCAGTACTAAAGCTACAATATTTTGACTAAAATCACAAACTGCAATTTATTTTTATTCCATAGCAAATATCCACTAGGCACTTCTCATGTACAAGGCACTTTTTAGACACTTGGTAAATGTCAGATTTTTAAAAAATGGATTTATTAAAAATAGACTTTATTCAAAAGGATTCTTGCCAGAGAAAGAAGGAATTATTGCAATAGGAAGAGTGGTGTGACCATATGATCTGTAAACACATCAAGGGTGAGGCAATAATGGTTTTATTTTGTGGGAAAGAGTAAAAAAGGGTAGAAAGAATCAGACATGTGAGATCGGGGTGGAGTGGCCTGATCAGATTACAGATCAGAGAATGTTTTACTCTTCGGTCCACATGTTCTCACCAGTCTGCTGGCTCAGGCTGAGGGTGTGCTGGAGTTGAGAGGCCTGAGGGAAGGAAAGAGCATTAACCAAAGTTTAGTTACCAGGCACTTCATTCAAATTGACCAGTGGAGACAAACAGTTCAGCTAATAATTTGTGAGGCAAAGAATGGGAATTTGGAGAGTCTGTGTCTGGCAATGTTATATGTGAAAAAAGTAGGGTATGCAGGAGTCTTATTTAAGTCATTTGGGGATGATGCTTCTGTGAAAGTAGAACATTTATGAGAATTCAAAGTATGAGGAATTTCTTAGCCTTCACCATTTTCTAGGATAATAAGAATGAGGTCAAGTTCAACATTGTCAGGGCATGGCAACAAAATAAGCAGAGTGGATCCCCATACTCAAGGACTTAACATATCAGGGGAAATGATGAACAGGACACCTTAGATCTGTCAGTATGGTCATTTCAGATCCGTTATGCCTGTGAATAAAAAAGAAGGCTATAACACTGATGGGAAGTGACTGGCAGAGGAGGCTTCTCCTGACTGTGAAGACTGTGAAGGTCTATGGGAGAGGGGCCATTTGAGCTGAGAATTCAATGATGCAAAAAAACAATCACGGGAAGCTAGACTAACCTGACTGAAGTAGAGAGAGGCAATGAGATTGGAAAGGAATACATGTGCAGAGCAGATAGGTTTTGTAGGTAAGGAGTCTAGATTCTGGCTGTTCTTCAGAGGATGGACATTGAGCAGAGGGAAAGTGAAGACAGAAGGCAAGTTAGGAAGGGCCCAGAAATACAACCGAAATAGTAAAATGGTCTGGCCTGAGGTTGTGGTACTGGCATGATGAAAAGTAATTACACTCAGTGTGTGCTTTGGAAGTAGAGTGACAATACTTGCTAAAGCAATTTAGGTGATACATGAGCAAATAATAATGATAATAAACCCTTAAAAAACTATAGTGTGCCAGGCACTGTTCTGAGTGCTTTACACATATTAAGACATTAAATCTTCATTTAAAAAATCTGAAAAGATAGGTACCATATTGTCTCCATTTTAAAGATAAGGACACTGAGATTGGGAAGACTTACTTTTACAAAGTTGCAGAGCTAATAAGCAGAGTTGGGATTTGAACCCTTGTGGACTCCAGTGCAGAGTTCAGCATGCACGGTTCCTATGACTTTGGTCTGAGGCATTGGGTGAGGGTTCTGCCTTTAGTGGAGATAAAATAAATCTTAGTGGGAAGTGGATTTAAGGGGAGATTAGTGCTCTGTGGAGGCCATGTTAATTTTCTACTGCCAACCAAGTGAGGCATTGAAAATTGAAAATCTAATTGAAAAAGTGTTTGGAACTCAGGGAACGTTTCAATTTGTAGCAGTAACTTTCAGCATCTTCAGCATATAGATTGTATTTAACATTGTCGGACTGAATGAGATTGCTGGGAGAGATAGAGAAAAGAAAAAGACCAAACCTGGACCCTGGGCACAGCTGTGGTTTAGCAGTGAGACTGCAGGTCTTCATCCTCTATTCCAAGTTTTCTTGATTTCGGCATGAGGGTACATGTTCTGATAGTTCCTTCCATATGATTGCAGCTTGAAGAGAAACTAGAAAGTGTACTGAAAGTTAATTTGCAATTATTTGGGGTGGGCTATCTTTTTGTATACAGAAAGTTTCACACTCAATTGCTCTAAGTATTACTGCCTTCTCAACCTAGGACACTGCTTTGTTACCATACAGGATACTCACTAGTATTAGAGCCCTAGACCACATTGTAATTTACTCAGTGTTTTCATATCTACCATCTATTTGACCTCCATACCCACCCCATGAGGAAGGGAGGATACTGACAATGATAACCCTGTACTGATGAGGATCTACTGCTTAGAGAGACTGAATGTCTCACTTAAGCCTATATTGTTAAATAGCAGAGCTGGGTCTCAAGCCCACAACCTGCACTACCAGACACTATGCCCTCTCTGCAACACCACACATGCTCAGCACACACAGTGTGCTTCATTATAGCATTTGCAGCCCCCATTCATTTTGTCAAAAGAGAAAGGGAGAGATGCGAACACTTAATTTTATCTCTCCTACTAGCCAAATGTCTTTGGGTCAATAATGCTGAACCAAGACATCCTGGATTATAGATGAGAGCCTTTGAAAGGAGTCATCAGAAACCAGGCAAACGTCCCCCTGCAGATAGAGATCCGCCCAGTGGGGCTTTATTACTTTGTTGTACATAAATTCTTAAAGCATGAAGCACACCCTTTTTCACATGTCAATACAAAAGTACTTTAAAAAGTCAACTAAAAATAGTCTGTGGATTTTTTACCACAATTGTACATTTGCAATACTAAAAATAATTGAGAGTTGATACTCAACCAAAAGCATGCACATAGAAGACGGCAACATGGGAAACCCTCTCCTGTGGGTGCAGGTGCAACAGCCAGGAAGTTTTAGCAGAAGTCTTTAACAAGCTACGGTAAATATGCCTTGGTTTCCAGGACCTTGTGCCAGTCCCAAGGGCTACACTGTCAGAGACTTTCCTGGGTCATTTTTTCACCTGTCAAACCTCCCAGGGAGATCCCTGTCTCTTGCTCCTCCTCTTTCAAATGCCAGCTGATTCAATCACTAAAATGTGCATTCATCTTCCTGCCCTGGGACAGTGCTGCCCAGCAAGTTTAACTAAATTGCCAATAAAACCATATTAAATCACCGGCAACTCCACCTCCTCTCTTTCCCGCACCTTCAGCAGGAGCACATGCATGACAGGCTCCCAAAGCAAACTGTGCTCTTTGCTGCTGTAGCTCTGAACCTTCTGACAGACAGGAATCAGGAAAGGGCAAGTCAACCAGAAAGGTGAAATCACTCTAATGCCTGCTGCCTTGTTACCCAACACTGCCTGCAGCCTAGGAGGTGAAAAGTTGTGTGTGTCAAAGGAAAACTTGCCTTAATGAGGTATGGGCTTCAGTTAGCAGGAGAAGGGTGTGTCTTATCTCTATTTCCAGGCGCTGAAGTTGAAGACAAGTTCAGCAGATGTGCTTTCATTAAAGTGGTGCCATTCCACGATTTCAGAACAAGGAACAAAATCCTTCTAAATGTTCACCAGACAGAGCAAGGGAACTTCACATTTGATGGGTGGTTCTGTTATCTTTGGCAGTCAAGCAACATCCTACAACATGCTTTAAAAACACAGTACAGCGAGAACAACTGCCAAAAGAGGGAGGAATAAAAAGAAGCAGTGACTCAGCATAAGACAAGAGTATCTTTGCTTGAAAATGTGAACTGTGGCATCCTCATGTTCCAAGATTTCCTGTCTTCCTGGATTTGTAGAGTGGAAAAGTATGCCTTCCAATCTGGACCCAAACACTATCCTTTCTTCTCTTTTAGTTCTGCAATTAACTTTATTTTTCAAGGGATAGTTAACCTGTGTGGGGTTCAAAAGTAGCGCTGCCGAGCCAATTTCATCTCTTCACATCAGCATACTCAGAACATACAATAGTATTTGTAAGGCCCAGCAAGGAAAGTGAGTGAGGCTGGGCTGGTGGAAGGTCATCCTCTCGATGGGTTCCCAGCCACCTCTGGGAAGCAGCATGAGACCACACACCAGGAAGAAGTGCTGACCGATCAGGGAGCTCAAGCCACGGGTGCTTGATTCCTTTATGACAGGTAAAGATATAAGACTCACTTTTACGATGTTATCAGAATACCTCTTTAAAAATATAGATTCTGGGATCCAATACTTCCACCTCTGATCTATTGAATCCAAATTTCATGGACTTAGGGAAGCCTGGGAATTCGAATTTAAACAAGCATTTTATATCATTCTTCTGCACATTAGACTTGCAGACTTCTGTGTTCGGTGTCTCCATTCTCCCCACCCTTACCACTTCCTCAGCATTCTTATCTTCCCTTTTCTTTATCCACACTTTCTGGGTAGAGTGCTTCCTCTTGAGAGCTACATTTATCAAGTTAGGATAATAGAAAACAGAGAAAAGAAAAAAAGACTCAGCATAATTAAACACAGGACTTGGGCACTGAGAGGCTGTCAGATGTTTGGGCTGGGCCAGAAAGGACCACTCTTTCTCATGCCTCCTTCTATAGGCAAAACCTGGGGACCCTGAAGATCTCAGGACCCTGTCACAGCTTGTTCTATTAATTAGCCACTTCACTAAATGTTTAGAGAAAGAACTAATGAGACCCTGGCATGGAGAGGTAGGAGAAAGATAGAGAGGTAAAAATACTTCTTCCAATTCAGCTGGTGTATGGGAAGAAGAGAAAGACAGGACAGATAACCCTCACCGGGCGGCTCAGTTGGTTGAAGCATCATCTCATGCACCAAAAGGTAGCGAGTTCAGTCCTCGGTAAGGGCGTGTACCAGAGGCGACCAGTTGATCTCTCTCTATCTCTCTTTTTCTTTCTCTCTAAAATCAGTAAACATATCCTTGGGTGAAGATTAAAAAAAGACAGATGTTTGCTGGTAATCTCAAAGAAAAAAGCAAACAAAAAAGGGTTTTGTTCTTTCATTTGGACTATGTATCACTTAAAAGTTGCTGTATCACCTAACAGTTGGATTTATTTAGAGGCAAATGGGCTTTGAGGTGTCTGTCCCTTTGAGATACTATACCTATGGACACTACTGTGAATTTTAGTGAGCAACCTCAAGCGCTTTCCCATTAGTATCCTTCTTTGTAAATGAAAGTGATTGGGCTCAATCACATCCAAATACGTAAAACCTAGCACATAAATGCTAACAAGGAAACTGAAAAGAGACTGGAATAGAAGATGATAAAGACAGGTGACTGCCACTCTACTTTAGATGGGTGAGGGGACAGAAAAAATTGACATTTGGATTGAGAGCAGGAGGAGAGAAATAAGAAATAGGGGATCACGCACTTCAGGATAGGCAACACTTGTGTGCAGGGAGCGATCAGGCAGCCCTGGCAATACTGCTGCAGCTGAGCCTTGGGCACCAGCTAAGAAGGAAATACAAGACGGTGGTGCAACCCCCCAACAAGCTTGGTGCTGCACCTGGGACAGCTGGGGCCAGAGCAGCCCTGCACACATTGCTATCTATACCAACAGCTGCTACTAGCCATCAATACCCATGCGCTGTGGATCATGCCGAATGCTCTAGGGAGTTCCTGAGTATCTGTTCCCATGGAAGGAGACTGTGAATGCCCAGGTGATGCCTCGTGAGCCATGCTGTTGAAACCTTTTTCCACCTGATGGACATGAGCAACATGTTGCCTGTATCACCTCATTCTTCTTTCACCACAACCATGGGTTTGTCCTAGACACCTTGGCTGCAGTTACTGTCATGTTTAAGCAAACTCCACCCGACACTGCACATGGTAAGTGCCTTTGGACAATTTTCCCAGAAAGAGAGAAATCATGATAGTGATTCCTACCTGCAAAGCATTATCTTAACATATAAGGATTACCTTAAATTTGCTGTGCTTTTGGAACTTTTGTTATGCTAAGGTCAAGAACTCTTATGTTGTGGTTTATGTACAAGTGTGTATACCTTGCTGCTATTATTGTCATAAAATTGTCCCCCAAGAAATGGTGTGACTTCTTGTGTCAGTCCTCACCCCAATGGAAAGCCCTCCTAGGAAAGACAGCTTGACTTTCCAACTATCTAAGTAATAGTTATTATGTTTCAATATAGGATTGAAAATGAAGCTTTTACCATCAGTGCACTCTGAAGTTATTTAAACAGAGATGATATATTAAATCACTGTGTGAGTGATTTTTTTTAACCATATGTTTTGGTTAGAACACTGAACTAGTTTGGCTGTAGAATTCTTGCCTACACCTGGGTGAGGACTCATCAACATGTAGATTTTGAATCTTCAATATGTAGATTTTGCACACATTGAAACTTTTTAAGTGCTTTGCACCTACCGGGCCCCAGAGTTAGAGAACATGTACCACCCTCCTCCTCTGATTTATGCTAGTCAGAGGTGGGCAAAAGTTTACAATGTGGCATTCTTTTGAGTTAATAAACCTATTGTAATAAGCATAATCTGCATATCTTTTCCCATACGAGCAACTGTAAATCTACTTTTGTCCCCCACCCCTGCCCTTAACTCTGTAATGTGTAAAATGAAACCAAAGTCAGGCATTGCTTTTTTTCCAAACTTTCTGTTGTGCAGAAATAATCTCTTATGGGAACAAGGTTAATTGCATAATAATTTCACTAGACAAGTAAATAGAAGTTCTAATCTAAGTAATGCAGAATTCACTTACACCTCCCTTTTATAACATCACCTCAGTGGCAATTTTGAATTTGCTTCTGAAGGAGGTTGTCTGTGCTTTAGGTGGAAGTCATTCAGCAGCTTCAGGCAAGGAGAACATTAATGTGGCAGTTGTGTCTGTGGTGCTGTCCAGGTATTATGCCTGGGTCATGGGGGTGAGGATTGATTCTACTGGCCTTGGGTTTTGTGAGATGCTCTGTCTCCTGGTCCCCCCCCCTTCCTCTGTGCCACCTTTATTATGTATTTGGCTCAAGACCCATTCAAAGAGAGCCTCCTGATAGGTATTTGCTCAATTACATGAACCAACATTTTATTCTCTCCTTCCA